TTGTTCTGATGTCTAATTTTAAGTAGTAGACTACTATTCATTTTTATTTAATTATGGTGTCACTTACTGGGAAATAAGTAAGAGTTTGTGGCTGGGAAATTACAATTTGCTTACCAGGGTTGCAGTCTGTCAAAAGAGAACAAATAGACAGCAAAACCTTTGAAATAGTCAAAGCAGGGCTCCAGTTGTCTTTCAGAATATCCAGACAGATGACTCCCTGACTGTTGATGTTGCAGTGATAGATTCTGGTACGGAAAGTAACCTACAGTTACAGTAGAATAGATAGGGGAAAAGTTATTAAATGGATATCCTGCCCCCCCCCCTTAGCCTTTGAGTTGTAGCAACTGTCTGAAATGGTGCAGACTGAGCAAGACAGAATTTCCATAGGGACCCCTCTCAGTTTTTACACAGTCTGTAAGATGGGCTCAATAAACCCTCCCCACATTTCATTACCTTTATTGTTGTTACTCTGCACAAGAACTGGCTCCCTTTACTGCACATATGGTACTGGTACATAAATATGTATCCAATATAAATAATATATTATATTTTAGGACTCTGTGATCATAAGCACAACTATAATTACAATTTTGCAATGCATGTGAACAAGTGGACTGAAATGAGCTCATATGTGAAATCTTAGATTTATCTTTTCTGTAGTTTTAGTACCTAATTCTGCAGTCTTAATACAGTATTACTTTAATTTTTTTTAATGGAATGTAGAGCTACTCTTCTTCAAAACACTTTACAAACTAAATTCTCTTAAACCCTGGGTGAGGTAGGACTTACTGTGTATATATAAAACATTTCTACTGTGCTAAGTGTCATCACCCTCCTGTTTTAATTGATCCCAAACTAATACTTGTCTAGACTGAAAGCAGTTTTCTGTGCACAAACAAAAGAAGTGAGAAATATTTAAATGCATAATTGATTGCAAAGAGGTGAGCAAAACTTCTATTTTTGGAATGGAAAAAAAGACATTGAAATGGTAATAGCAGCAGCCGCCAGAACATCCTCAAGTTGTTGGAAATGCAGTGTGGCAGAACGTATTTATCCCTTCTAAATGTTTGCAGTATCCCTCTTGGAGACATTGACAAGATTAGTAAACTCCAATTTTGGCTTTAAAAAAAAAAAGAGGCCTTTGAATTCCCAATCCTCAACATCTCTTACTGAATTGCAATTTTTGAATTTATATTGGCATGAATGTCCTTTAGTGTTTTGTGAGCATTTTTAGCTTTGGTTTTATTTTAAAGAATATATTGCTTCCATTTCATAAACATGTTACCAAACACAGGTGCTGATAATCAGTTGCTGATACACATTTACAAATATATGTCAGCACTGGATTTTTAGATAACTGGAGGTTACAATATAATATTTTTACTTGTTGAATACTTGAATTTCCTTTGTTGATGATTACTAAGATGTACATATAAAGGAAAACTGTGTTTTATTGGAACTAGATTTTTACCTCCTGAGCAGTTACTTTAGAACTGTCATCCAATTTACAAGTAGGAAAGCAGAAAGAAAGCATGAGTTATTGCAGTCCTTGAATGAAATCCAAGACTTTGAATCTCTCTATTTTCAGCACAGCTTAAGGAGATCTGATTTTCAGAGACTGATGAATGCCTACTCTGAAAATCAAGGCCTTTCCAAAAAAAATTTGGAAGTATCCAAAAATCACTAGTCACTTCTGATAACTGTACTCACTGTGAAAAGCTTACCCTTACCTTTGGTGGCTTGAATGGATAATCCGATGAAAATGTGATATCCAGGAAAAAAACACCTCCTTCATATACAGAGCCTGGGGGTCCAAGTATGGTAGATCTCCATTCATAAATGTTATCTCCTTTAGGACCAGCACTATGTAAAAAGACAGAAACTTAACTGTACTTTTATGAAGAATGTTTACAAACATTACCCTTTTAAACCCATTTTTAATAGTAACAGTTTACATGTCTTTCGTGTAGGTCTAAATACCAACTCAGTGCCACTATTGGCTAAAGTTGGCCTTGTGCTTGGGTACCATGCTTACTCGGGGCCTTCAGCTTTTGATTGCATTGGCAAAAGAATAAACTGAGCATGGAAAGACCACCACTGTTTTAAAGCACAATTCCCATTTTTATGTTTTGTATGTGCCTCCAGTGAGCTTCTGTACGGTGCAGTCCCTTCTGCCTAAGACATGCTAATAAAAACATATATATCTTACACACTCTGACTTTCTCAGGGGTATGAAAATGTGATAAGTGTGTGCAGAGATGTTTACAGGCAGTAGCCTGATATTACGTGGAGTAAAATTTAGTATTTTCTATACAAAAATGAATGGAGAGATATGTACATATATTTTTGGTGGAAACTGAATTTGATTCTTTTTAATACCGTCATTCCAAATAAACTACAAACAACTGTCATTTATCTCATATAATTAACAGACCTTCTAAAGTCATTTTTGATCAACTATATATTATGTAATATTAGGCACACGTTCCTCAGTAATGAAAGGACATATTATACAAATTTTCTGGCATTTGAAATGATGGTAATATTACAAGACTGGTTATACAAGAATGGACTAACACCTTCTCAGCCATCAGAATTAATGCTGTAGGAATGTGAGCAAAGGTCTATATGCTTTTGCAAATATCTAAAACAAATCCATGTCAAGCAGGCCTACAAAGAAAAAGTAAGCTTTTTTTCATAAAAAAAAAGAACAAGTAATCTTCTAGAAAAATGTTATTTATGGTAATGCTTTGACTACATTTTCAGAATCCTCTGCCAGCTAGATCCAACTTGATTGCACTGGAAAGAAACACTGGTTGAGATGGTGGCAGCACAAGAACCTGCATCTGTCCAGACCAGAAAACCAATGTCTTTTCTTCCTTAATACTGACTGTCATACATTCACACCTCCTGTGTCTTAAATAATGGCCTTTTTAGCATTCATGCTAACTGTAATAATGAATTTTCTTTCAATCAATACTCATAATACTTGTTAGTCTGTGATCATTTTATGTACCAAAAATTTAATCAGTAACAAGCCTTTTTATTACATGACAAGAACAACCCAGGAATTCTGAATAACATCTGTTTTAATTAAAAAAAAATGAAATGGAACTGGAGCTATTTTACAAAAAAAAACCAACCAAAAAACGAACCCCCCCCCCCCCCCCCCAAAAAAAAAAAAACAAA